ACAGTGGATACACTGGTTTCACTCATACAAACCATGGCTGACGTGAAGACTGTTTTGAGATCGCTGTCCAAATCGAAGTCCATTCGTTGAGCCATGACTTTGGTGTTCATTCATGTGATGGTAACAATGAGTGCCAATAAGACAATGAAGTCTTAAACAACAAGTGGTTATCAATGAGATAATGACAACAATAATATCACTGAAGAGTTGTTTGCATTCAATGTTTGTTTTGGTTTGCATTGACTGTCAGTCACGTGAGTCCTACCACTACTGCTGAACACACTGTCCCCCAATGAATGCAATGAATGTGAGTCTCATTGCAAAGTGTTTATGAAGAAAGTCATTGCCTTTCGTATGATATGTGCGAGTGAGGGGTCACCACAGGTGTACACCACTGGGGGGTATAGCAACCAATTCTAGTGTTCATTCAATTTATTTCATTCAATAAGTTAGCCTGGTGTTTCCGATTTCAACCATATCTAACATTAAATTCATTATTCACGGAGATATACAATATTATTATATTACAAATATATTCTACATTTATTTTATAGAATCTATAGTTATTGTATATAATCTATAATTTCTATATTATAATTGCATTTGAAACTTGGTATATATCTTACCTCCCATTTACTAATAGAAATTCATGCATTTAATATAATTTAGCTAAATCAATTATATTCTGGGTCAAGAATATTCTGTGAATAGAGATAGTTTGCTAAAGTGATGTATTATTACCGAATATTAAAATATTTGTAATACAGTATTACTGTATTCTAATAATAGTAGTAACTTGATACAATTGTTTTATGAATTTAATTAATTATACAGTAGAAATGACAGCCTATTTAGAATTGACAATTTTACACAAATTATAACCATTATTAAATTTATTACAGTATAATAAAATTTAATAACAATTGCCAAGTTTGAACACTTGAAGTTTGAAACTTATAAAATAATTTTTAGCAACTTTGTGGTCATGTTAATTTTTATAGTTCAAGAATTATTAAGCCGATGATTTTTGTAGGAGACTTGCTTGATCACTTTGATTGAACCAAGAATTTACTGGAAAAACATAATACACTATAATTAAAGAATTTTATTATCAATTAATGAAAAATTAATATGAACAAGTTATAGTAATGAAATAAATGGATAATACTTTTAAAATTTATTTATAAATTTAACGACAATTCAATGCTAATTATAATGCAATAAATTGCACACAACCCTTAGTTAAATTTATAAGTAATTACTAAGATAACTTAAGTTCTTAAAGTAATCTAATTAAAAGAGCACTTTTAAATTAACTAATGTCTATGCATTGACATATGTTTTTAATTGTATTTGCAATTTATTGTTTTATTACAATATTCCTTAATAATGTAATGATATTTGTAACACCAGTATAACTGTATTGAAACTTTCACTAAAAAGCAATTCGTTGAATATTTTACGACACTATTATAAAAATGAGTGGAATTGTTTACAGTTAACAAAATCTATTATACTATTCTGTGGTAAGTGTACTTGATACCTGTCTTACACTAAATAAGTCACGGATTTTTGCACGCGTTTCGCACCTATCATAAAATATTATAACTATTTATATTGAATAAGAGTTAAAAGTTTGAAAAATTAATAATTAAACAAGCAATTTCATGAATTTATATTAGAAACAATATTCTGATTATATACTGTACTATTAAAAATATAATTACTCTATATTGAACATTGGTATAATGTAAGTAATTAAACTAGTTAATCTTTTTAAAAATATTATAGATTTTTCATATTTAATAGAAAGTAGTGATTATAAAGTTATTACAGTATAAAGAAAAATTTATAGAAACTCTTTTCACATGATTTTATTAATTGTTTGCAAATGTGAGCTATTAATTATTTTGTTAGTAATGGATATATAGATAATATTGATATTAATGACTAGATTTTTTTCTGAAAATTACTTGCTATATGTCAAATAAATTATGTAATTTTAGCTATTCACTTATTTTGTATTTTCATTGTCTATGGAATTAAATTTCATTGCAATCTCATATGACATTTATTAAATATCGTTATTTCAGATTCACTTTTGTTTTTATTGTTATTTTATTATTAAATTATTATTATTTGCTTTTTAATTTAATTTAAGAATATGTTTATAAATGTAAATAAGAATTCTTATGAATAATACAGCATTTAAATTTTTTCAGCAAAATAATTCAGCAACATAACTTTTATTAAAAAATAACACGAATTCTTATGTGACTGAATTTAATTATTAAATGAATTTTCATGAACATTTCAATTTCAATTGTTAATGATATTTGTATAAAATTATATTTAATACATGTAATTGATATAAATTTTAATTCATATGAAAACCATTTCACTATAAATTATGGAAAGAATGCAATTAAGCATAGATTCTGTCGACCAAAATGATGCGGACGTTCCCATCCCTATCCCAACATCACTCAAACTCAAGCTATATTTGGGTCGAGTATTGTCTGCATGGGTAACACAAAACATTTATGGAGGTAACAAGCACATTTCTACAATAAATCCTATGTCATAGGGTGACCGTATGTGGCAGTTCGCAATTGGCCTATACTTCATCAAACTATATCCCGGATCATTCCTGTTGGCGGCCATTCACGGCGTTATATCCTCGGTGTTGGTTTTTGTGACGGCGCCTATAATTGGTTATTGGATCGAAAGGACGTCCCGTTTGAAAGGAATCCGGATCTCTTTATTTCTTCAAAATGGTTTCGTGGCGTTGGGAGCCGTTTGTGTGGCTGTCTATGAGATTGAAAGCATCGATCAAAATGTATATGATTTATAGGCCTATCAAATTCATTAAAACTATATTTTTATACACATTTTAAGATAAAGCAATGGATCGCATGGATCGGATTAATCACCTTTTCAATCATAGCTCAGATATGGAGCGTTGGGTTCACCACATGTCTGGAGAAGGATTGGATTCTATGTATAGCCACAACTGAATCCCAACTGACCGGTGGGTACACAGAATATTCTGTTACAATATAATGATATAATGTTTTAATGTGTGAAATGTGTGAAATCCAAGATTTGAATGCAATGCTAAGACGTCTGGACCTAATCTGCAATGTGGCGGCGCCTTCAGTTGTGGGCGCTCTCATGAATTTGCCCCTATTATGGTCGGCCGTATTCATGTCGGTGTGGAACGTATGCTCGGCTGTTGTCGAGTACACCCTTTTGCACTCCGTCTACAAATCGGTTCCCAACTTAAGAGTCGAGAAGAAGCAAAAACTGAGCAAAACATTCAAAATACTAAACTTGAGTGCATTTGTCATGTATTGGAAGACATTCTTATGGCCGGGATTTAGCTTTTCGTTGCTATACTTAACAGTCTTAGGGTTCGACTCAATAACCATTGGATACGCGAGTGAGAAGGGTATCAACGAAACCATATTGGGTTTGGTGACAGTGGCGGCCAGTCTGGTGGGGATCACCGGCACCCTATGCTATCCATTACTGGTCAAGAAGTTTGACGTCAAGATAACAGCGTTAATAGGATTCATAACTGAACTCATATGCCTTACCATATGTTTGGGTGACTCCGCAAAGTTTATTATACCCGATGAGAGGACAGGCGTTATTNACTCCGCAAAGTTTATTATACCCGATGAGAGGACAGGCGTTATTCTACTGCTGTCTGGTATTACTGCGGCCCGGTTTGGCCTATGGATGGCCGACATGGGGGTCAACCAACTGATCCAAACCGAGACTATAAGCCCTCCAATGGTGGGCAGCGCTCAGACGAGTGTTAATATTCTGATGGAATTAATAAAGTTTGTGATCGTCTTATGCATCCCAAGTGTTGAGCACTTCTATATCCTAACCCTTATATCCTATGCCTCAGTATTATTGGGTTCAATACTATTCGCTATATTTGTCGTTAGGAACAGACATTCAGCCGAAAGTCAAAAGTTTTTGAAATGATTAATAAAATGAATTATTTTGGTTTGTCTCCTATTATTAACCGATAACTGATAACTTATAAGTTATCGGTTAAAACGGTCGATATGTTCAGTGTATGAGTTATTGTAAGCAATGATTACAAACTCAACGATAGTTTAACTCAAGATTCGTGACATTCTTGAGATTCTTGAGATTCTTGAGATTCTGGGCACAAGAATATGAGACCACAAAGAGTACTGTTTGTGACAACTGGACGTAATTTATGGACAGAAAGGCTTTGTTTTGTTTACAAATACTGTTCATAACATTCAAAGAGTTACTAAAAGTCATAACAAAAACCGAAAACAATTTCGTATTAAAAAGCATTAATTAAACGATTATTTGTGAAACACATTGAAAACTATTAGAGATTTTCATACAATTGACAACAAAATCGCTGTTTATTTGCAAATAAATGTTAAAATCAAGTCATCTATTGATTCATTGCTTGCCAACAGCCGTACGAGTAATCGCGCAAAACATCACTAAATGGACATAAAGTCACCGAAGAATGGTTCCAATGGTTCCGCGAATCAACGAAAGCGACCAGAAATGGCATTATATAAGCCGGGAATGGGAAAGATCCTTGCTAAGAAAGCAGAT